GCTGCTGGCCTCTCAGAGCCCCTGCCACATTATAGTCTATTCTGTGGCCAATTATAGACCCCATCTTAGTCACTTTAGGGCAAATATGTAATTTTCGCGATTTCTGTTTTTATGAATTGACCCATTTTTTTAGATTGAATGAAAAACACTTTACTTTTCATCTACAGTACAAACATTCTCGGTACGTTTGCTAACCGTAAATATGAAGAACTGTCTTACCCCCAAAAAACAGAAAATGTGCGACCCTATTCTAGTAACTTTATTGAAAATGCGACCCCATTATAGTCAATACAGTCGTGAAAATGCCACCTCATCCAGCGGCACATCCCCATTAGCCTCTTGTAAGGAAATAGCCCCCTCCCCGGGCTTCTATATGCATAGACTTACTTTTAGGATATTTACGGTAACGCCCTAAGGTAGCTTCTGCGCTCCCCCTCCCGAGAAAAAATCCCTGAACGCAGGTCACGCTATTAAACCATAACTTTTTCAGTGATTCTGACAGATCTGCCACTGAGATATGTACACATTATATAGGCGTGACATCACAGGAAGCCAGCTGAGTGTTCTTTACTTAAAAGTTGTAAAGCGGTTTCCTTTTCCGTTCATCGGCCCAACAGAGAGAATTGCGAGCCGTAGAGCACGTAGAATTCGATAGTGCAAGTTATTTTATTAATTGAAATAAGCGAAGAGACGTTCGAAAAGCACGCAGAAATTAAATGAGAACAGCAAACAACATTTTGTCGGAGCTGAAAACGTATACCAGCTATTTATGAGCAGAAAATTAAGCCCATCATGTCAAATGCTTAAAGAAATTACAAAAACCGAAATATTTAACAAAGAGTTAAAATTCAAAGAAGAATTTTAAAACAAGAGTTCATTTATCGTGGCTTGGTGCGCTGTAGTCTTTTAACACTGGCCACAGTTCGGGATACAACGCCTTCACTTCAGAAGCTTTGGGCACACAACGATCTCTATAATCAAAACCCGGTGACATTCCCTCTGAAATCAACGTAAAAGGTATCTCTCCTTCAAACTTTGCATAATCATTCTCGTCGAGTAAAATCTCTGCAGCCTTTAGACAACCACCAGGGACTGTTCGTTGGGGAACATGCCCTTTCGAAGTGTCGCTACCCAATACAAACTCCTAAACTTTGCCCTCGGTTGTGACATATATATACTTAGCGGGCCAGCCGTCGTGAAAAAAATGTGTTATATCGCTTTTGTTGCTGTTTAAGAAGTTTTTGCCTCCAAGTTCAGGTGCAATCATGTAATAAATTGTAGTGAATAAGCTCCGTTCATTTCCTTCTCTTTCCTTAGCTTGAATAATTTCTGGTGAACGATATGTCTCTACGAAATATCCCCCTTCCTCCGATAGCGGGATTAAGCCCAGGTTTTCAATGTAGTTGTCTTTTCTGTGCTTCATGTCACCAGTACGAAATCTCTCGAAGTTAAACGGCTTTTCTTCTGAAATCGAATAAAGATCGCTGATTAAAATTCACATTTGATAGTTTACTTTAGACACACTTGAGTACCACTTCCGACGTGTCAATGACGTACTTTATACGGACGTCAAGTCTTGAGCCTCTTATGACATCATCAACGCCTTCTCTTTGGCACGGATTCGCGTGATCCATGAATTGACAGGTAAACAGAGCATTAGTCGGGAAAACTCATGAAATACAGTCAGGATTCGCGAATTATATATTCACTGGGACGATCGAGTGATCACCTAACATTTTAGTCCGTCATTCTAGATTTCTACCGAGAAAACAGATGTAACGTCGTGAACATCAGATAACCCTAATTCAGACCTTCTCTTTCCTATATGATAGTAATCCATGGCCAGCAGCCACCAAGGATCATTGATGGACTTTAAAGCGGTTCGTCACCTAATCGCGTGATTCGTGAAATGACTCCAAAACTTAATGAGATTCGTAGCGCTGCGTGGGAGGCTACGTGACTCGTGACTGTACGGAAATTTAATCCGTGATCCGTGCAGATCCAGAACCCGCCCCCTTCTGGTTTTATTGCGGTAATTCTAGTGTTAAGCCTTCGAGCAAGCTTGCTCATAGGCTGATTCTGTTGTGATAGAAATCAGACAATATTTACTTCAAGGTGTTTTTTCTTTTTTTTTTTAACCCAGGCTTTCCCTAAATAAGTGTTTTGAGGGTTTCTTTAGGATCGGATTTATAATTTTATTTCGACCGTGGTAACAATCTTAAGGGGGCAGTCTGTTTAAAAGCGTTATTTTTCGTTGATTTCCACATAAAATTTCATTCAATCAAAAAGTGACTCAATTAAGTTACAGTCCTTAGTTCAATAATTATTTGTGAATTTTTGGGTGATTTTTCGAATGTTTCAATTCGTAAAATTTAGTGGGGAGATGTTTGAAATTTGGAGAAAAAGAGAAAATATTGGAATTGGGGGTTGTTAAAAAGTGAAATATGAAGTGATCAGTAGACAATTACCAGATAGTCTACCAACTCAACAAGGTGCCTCTGATCCCATTAGCGGACCAACTGGTTTATGTGTATACCAGGTATACCTATTA